CCTCCGGGGCGCCCCCTGCTCGGCCCCGCGCGCCCCTCCCCGAGCGCCCCGCTCCTCGTCCTCATCCTCGTCCGCGCTGGACGACAGCGGGGTCAGGGCGGCCGAGGCCGGGGAGGCCGCGCCCAGCAGCACTAGCACGTCCTCCTCCTCCTTCAGCTCCAGGGTCTCGGACTTGACGAACATCCTGTGGGGTAGAGAGGGGATGGGCGGGCACACGCGTGAGTCGGGCATGGACAGGGACCCCGCGCAGCCGAGGCTGCGCTGAGACCCGGTAAGGAAGGAGAGGGGAGGAGGCCAGGCCCCGGCCGCTCGGGGGCGCAGCGCCCCGCTCCGGGATGCAAAGCCAGGAAGCCGGTGCCGCGCTCCGCGCCGGGCTCGGACGCGGATTTGGCACGGGGACGACGCGACCGAGGCCGGACTGCGGCGGGGACACCCACCTGGCGCGCTCGTCCCCGCGGCCGGGAGCTGCAGCCGCGGCTCCGCAGGGGACCTGGGATCTCAGAGTCTGGAGCGCCGGGGTCTTGTGGGCCGGTGGCGCTGCGCGTCCGTCTGTCACTCAGTCCTCGGCTCCTGGCACGCGACTCCTGGGCTCTCCAGTTAACGCGAAGCTGCTTGTGGTTCAGTGGCTGCGTGTCTGGCACACGACTCTCCTTAAAACCCCTTATATACCCCCCAGAAAACAATCAGCTCTGCCCCCGGGCTCCCACCTCTCCCCGCCACCCCAGCCCGGCCCCCTGCGCCCCCACCTCCCCTCCTCGGCCGATCCTTTTCATTGCATTATCATCATTCATTTCTTTCTCTTTCTTTGCCCCTTCCCCCTCCCAGGCCCTGCCATCCCTGCGTCCTCGTCCTCCTCCCTCCACCACCCGCCCCTCCCCTTTATCTCATCAGCATAAAGTGGTTCCAAAGCTCTGCCCCGGCTCCGGGCTGCATGGAGCCACGGAGCAAAGAGCGGCCAGGGCGCAGGGTCGGGCTGCGGTGCGGTGGCCGCCGCCGTCCTTTGTGATTGGCGGCTCGCGCTCGGCTGGAGCGTGCCACTAATTTATTAATGAATGGGGTCGCGAGGCGCAGCTGGCCAATCAGCGCGCGCGGGCTCTGGGAGGCCTGCGAGCCACGCGCGGCGGAGCCGCTGCCTTTCAGCAGCTCATTAGGGGCCCGGCGCGGGGCGCG